TCCGTAATGCCAAATCAAGTCGTCCGAAGGCGATTTTCTGTCGGATGTGCAGTGTCAGTCACGAGCTCCTTTCGTGACACTATCATGAATGCATCCGTCGTCAGTAAAATCAATACGCGACGTGATGTAACAAAATCAGTTTCGTAGCAAACAGCTTTGAAAGTGAAACGGAACCAGTTAGTCTATTTTAGTTAGCGCTAAATGGCTTTTTAATTGATTCGGCTCGTCGAGAAATCGAAAAATCGCTTTACCTATCACTCGGCACTTAATTGATAGAATTGAAACAACAAATCGGACCTGCGCAATAAATTCTAATTCGTCCCCTTCATAACTATTGGTCGCGACGTATTTTGCCGTATATTATGTGTTTGTGGAAAACGGTATCTATAGTAGCATGCTACGTATCAATGCAATAACTTAATTTTGTCCAAGAAATGGATGCTTATGATGTTTCGTTAAGTGTTGTATGGGTTTGATTTCCACACAGGAAAAGTATTTGTTTGACTCATAGAAATTGTACCGGATCTAGGTCAAAGATTATGTATCTAAAACGTCAACATAAAATAATATTATACAGTACTACAGTAACGGCTAAGCTTAAAATAAGAGCGAGCGAACAAAAACAGCCCTATTCCTTGTATTAGTTACTTGAAATATACACATATTTACTTTATTAATTTAACATATTTAATTTATTGCTAATTTAAATGTTTCTAACACTTTAGAGTAATCATTGTCAACCATAGACTGAGTTGTTTTACGTCCTAATATCTGTATTTTATTAGTTAATCCGGACAACCATATATCTCTAATTGTTAAACGTTTTAAATTCCGTTAAAAAGTAATAAGTTTGTACAATGTTTTCTATGATTCGAAATTGCCGCATGTAGCCGCACTGCATAGGTAAAGGTCATTTTCATAGCCAGCCTTAGCAAATACACTCGGCTTACATTTGCTTTGATATTTGAACTAAGTACTTCAGTTGTTTCTATAGTAAACAGTCGATGACAATGAGACTACCATGTCATTTTAATATTACACAATAATATAGTTGTTTCTAGAGAAGTACTTCTTTTTTGAATACAAGCTGTAGTTTCTGGACGAAATTATTTATAAACTTCCTAATCTTTTGATAAGGGATGACAACAGTTAACATTAGATAGGGAGACGCAAAACAATGTATTAGAAATATGTGTATCTTTCTGGTAGATTGACAATTATTTAAAAAAAAAGTGTTATTGGTTGCACATGTTGGACAATATCCTGAAGTCCTGTCGGAGAAGTATCTAGTCCTGTTTCACCGCAATCCCTTATCAAAGAAATGAAATAAGTTCAGAGATTCTTATCGATTTTCGTCTGCGTTCGCTTGGCGCCTATGTGACAGAATAATATCGTATAGCATAGAATATATGTGGCAACCATTGTTGAGCTTACAACACCATGGGGCAACAAGACCTGTGTGAGTGGTGTTTTGCGAAACTGCTTTAGAGGTCAGTCCTGTCTAGTGGAAACGGGATTTTATCTTTTTAATTTTACGACTGCCATGTTTGGAATACGATGAGAGATATTTTTAACTTAACAATTTAACAATTGATGAAATATGTATTTATAACTTAAGGGGTCGGCTTATTTGATTATTGTCTCACAAATTTTCCATGAAGGTTAAATGGGAATTAATAATATGTTGGCTTTATATTTCTTAAGCATTTACATTCAGAGATAGTTTGTAGTTCGATGCATATTTGTACGACATTTAAAAACCAAATATATTGTGGTTTACGCGTATATGTGCAATGTTTTTGATAGAATTCGTTGAGTCTAGAGTAAAACTAGATTAAACATAATCCTTGCTAATAATGGTATATATGATAATTGAATATTACGCCTATTAATTATAACAGGCGTAACTACTATACAGTAAGAATACCATGTTTTAACATGCTTTTGTGCACACTGTGATCTGGAACAATGGCTCATGGACGAGATGAATATTGCTTGATACAGGAATCGATCCCATGACTCGAGGTAGCAAGGCCTAAACAACACAAGCTTAACTCTTGTCTAAATTAATTAATTCATATACAACATGTATACATTCCAAAATTAGATTAGGACTTAGTAAACGAAGCATAAATCTACGGACAATAACCGACGATTTTCGGCATTTCCGAAGTAACGTACTTAAATAGGTTTGTATATTACAGTCGCATTATTTTCATGCATTCGTGTATTATCATCTGCTAACTTTTGACGAAAAGAAATTACTTTATTATTTAACTCCCTACATCCGCCAAAATATGTTTAAGTGCTAACAAGGTTAAAAAGTATGTTATTCAAGAAACTGGAGGTTGGTCGTAAAATTTAATTAGCAATTACTCGTGCGCAGAAACATTGGCATCGCGTAACTTGCAACTGGCGTCTTAAACGCAATCAAGCTTCAATAGTCGAATAGTCTTAAATCTAAGACGACAGACAACAGAAAAAAAGAAGGATTATCGCGGTCTCTATCGCGGATGCAAACACAGAGATGTAAATTCCCCAAGACCGCATAGATGGCGTCGTCGTAAACAGAAGATGAAGAATTATTGCGATCTCGTAAGCAAACACAGAGATGACCAACATGCAAATTCCCTAAGACCGCTTCGTATCGTATTAGCTCACAACTATTATAAATACGATAATAATGCATTTCGATAATGAATTATTCACGATACGAGGCGCAATATATTCCGCTTGCTAGTTTATTAGATAGTTGATTGGATTCCCTCTCGAAGGTTGCGTTGCGAACTTTGACCCTTTGCATAGAAGATGCGCATATATCGTGCAACACGATTAGTGGTGTTGGGAAGTATTGAACAACGTACGTTCGATCACTCGTTTCCAAGTAACAAACGCTGCACTAACGCGACAAACGAAACATACCGGCAAAATTGTGTACGGTTACAGTAACTCTGGAAGAAATTTTCACTCTGCACTTGGAGCACGAGAGCTAGATCACAGAAACGTATTAACCAGAACAACTATTTTGCTATTGTATGTGTGTTTCTGTGTTTACACATTTATTTATTGAATTACCAACGCAAGTAACAGTCGCTTTAGTCTAAATTATACAGGTTTAAGATATATACTCAACTGTAACTTACAATTACAGGTAACCACATCATGCATAATAATCACTGATAACAAAATCGACAAAAATAGAAAAAAATAATAGCACAATTAAAATAATGTCAAATTAAAATTAAAATAAATTATGGAACGATAATAACAGTTTCAATTACAATACAGATCATGTCATATTTTCTTAATTTTTTGTGATTGCACAAAATAATAGTAAATGCAAAAATAAATATATAATAATAGTAAAATAATATTTATAAAAAAACCCAAATTATATAATGGGTTGAATGATGAATGAACAAACACATTTCAAAGAATAGGCGCATCATCATTACCATCATCATCATAACAGACCTCCCCCACAGACTGCCACAATCCTGAACCATCTGCATCCATCGACACACTTGCACAGGTACGTAGTGTATTTGGGCCTAGTCCAGCACGCGACCCCACTGCGGTTTGTTTGACGAATATGGATGTGGATGTCGCAAAGTAAATGTGCAAGTATCCTGGAAACACTGCATTCTCCCCCCACCTTACGTTTCTATGTTAATAAAGATTTTCGTTAAAATCACCTATAAAACCAATTTAAATTATAGCCGGCAACAGGTCAACCCTTTAGATTTTTATTATTAGATTCATTAAAAGCCAATGACATTGTTGTCATATTCTTTAAATCTTAATTTGTATGGACACCCGATATGTATTTAAATATGAGATTAATTCAATTATAAGATTGAGATTAATTCAATGTTCCCTTCAAGAGTCTTTCGTTTTTGTTTCCTCATAAAGGAAAACCCCTAATCTCTTTCGGCGAAACGAAATGCCGGTCGAAGCGAGATTATTCAAAAGGGCGTTTAGGAATCCCGGCGCGTGGAACTTCCGGCGATTTGGGAACTAAAAGGAGCAGCAAAGCCGCTAACGGGACGGCCCACCTGAGTCACAAGTCCGCCTAAAGGGCCTCGATTGGTTGCCGGGCTCGTGGGAGACTATCGATGGCAGCCCGGTGAGTGAAATCGGAGAATATATCAAAAATGCGAAAGCTTGTGTGAGTGCGTGTTTGATCACGGCTAACTCCGGCACGGGCTAGTGTTTAATTTGGAATGGAGATAGCTCACATTCGAACGCATAAAAGAGTTTATTTTTTGTAAAGACAGTGCTATTCCGAAAAGCGGCACGTGGGCGAAGCTACGTTAAAAACATATAAAAAATAGAAGCCTCCTTAAATGCATTTCGTGGACCCAACTGGTCATTTCGTAGCGATGTATGTATGAAATTGGGCCTTGCCTTTACTAGCCATCGGTTAATGACTTTATAAGTATCAACATTGAATACACTATAATTAAATAACTCTTTTAAATAAACTTAAAAGTAAGGTAACTTACTGCTTGTAAAATGTTGTCAGTCCCACCCCTTTGAATGTATTCTCTCATGGGAGGTAACTAATACTTGATTGATATGTTTTATCTATAATACAAATGCTCATATTTTGTTAGAGTTCCTGTTTTTGTCTTTAATCATGTAATTATAATTGGTATCGCACTAGATTTTTTTAATTTTGCTTATGTCCATAATGATACTATTTAAATTGGAATTATTGGCTACAGCAATGACCCGTGTAATTTTATGTAAATACATTTTAATCTTACCTAAATCGTTTTTTTTTTAATTTTCATATGGCCAACGTTAAAATTTTTCTAAAAGGGGAGGTCGAAAACGTGAGATACGATGTTGACTCTTCCTCTTATCGGTATGTATATATCGACGAAAAATGAAAACTATGGCAGTGTCAAAATATAAGATTAATGATATAACATTAAACGGTTTCGAAACCGGTGAACCGCGCAACATTTTCCGATACGGCTCGCCCACTTTCAACAATGTACCGCTGCGAGGAGCGGGTGCAATTCAAAGGTGAGATAAGGCTAGACGTAAGGCGCTAGCGGATAGCCTTGCGGGACGAAAGCACGTAGGCTGCCGGTGGAATGTTCTGGGCTTACTTTCCACTGCAACCTTGGGCTTTGGCGGCGCACCGATCGCCCGAAACCCGCGCAAATACGCACCGGCCGCGCTCCGCCGATTTATTGTTAGAAAACCTAATGCGAAATTAAACGCGTGCCTGGCAGACGGTTCGCCGGGAAATTGGTGGTGATTGCGTTAGCGGGCGAACCGGGTGCGTCACAATTCCACTGAATAAGCACGCGCTGTTATTTTTTTGGGTCAAAGGCAACCGCCACCTCGGCGTGCGCGTTCTGAAAAGAAAAAAAAACGAATCTTTTTAATCGCCTGTATACAATATTTAACGTGTGCTTCGATATATTTCAATTTTAAATTAACAAATAAAAAATTCAAGGTTCACTACAACCTTTAATAAAACTGGATTTGATTTCAAAATATTTTAAGCCCTGCATCTTTTCGCATAAAACTGAAATGTGGATGGTGTTATCGCACCCAATAACTTTATTCAGGACATTTCTCTGTATTATTTTTGAAAGAAACCGAAGGTACCAGCAATTTGGAAACTGGTTGTCGTATACGAAAGTTGACGTTAACAATATAAGAACCCACATGATATGGCCATCATCATTTCAGCCTGTTTGAGTCCACTGCTGAACATAGGCCTCCCCCACAGACTGCCATGAAGCACGATCCTGAGCCACCTGCATCCATCGACTTCCCGCACATTTGCACAGGTCGTCACTCCATCTAGTGGGGGGTCGTCCTACACTGCGATGGCCAGTACGAGGCTGCCACTCGAGAACCTTTCTTCCCCAACGGTTATCGGTTCTACGAGCTATATGGCCGGCCCATCGCCGTTTCAGCTTGCTAATCCTCTGAGCTATGTCGGTTATCTTAGTTCTACTGCGGATGTCTTCGTTACGAACTCTATCACGCAGAGAAATACCGAGCATAGCCCGTTCCATAGCTCGCTGAGCGACTTTGAGCTTCCTCATACGGCCAGCAGTGAAGGACCACGTCTCGGTTCCGTAGGTCATCACTGGCAACACACATTGATTGAAGACTTTAGTCTTCAAAACGAGAAGATTTGCCGAAGTTTCCCGAACGCTGCCCATCCGAGTTGGATTCGCCGATTGACCTCCGCGTCGAAGTTGGACTTACCTAGCCGGACTAACTGTCCTAGGTAAACGTACTCGTCAACAACTTCGAGCTCAGTGCTCGCAACAACAACCGGTATAGGCGTGACATGGACATTAGACATGATCTTCGTCTTGTCCATGTTCATCTTTAAGCCCACCCGTTGGGAGACGCTTGGCCATAATAGGTATTCGACGATAATAGGTATGTATATTTACAGAGCATACCTACATTTACCGTAGGATACAATATCCTGCGTTGTAAGTACTTTTAACACCCATAAATTTCAGGGCTACATACACAAATAGGTACTTGACCCGTGTGGAAATCGAACCTACCACCTCCAACGGCAAAGCTTTGAAACTGCAATCGAACGAGTCAATCTATTTGTTTCCACACTAAAGATGATCTTAGTTAAGTACTATGTTCCAGAGTAAACTAGGCCATATTAAAAAAATATATAAGTCGATGGATGCAGATGGCTCAGGATCGTACTTCGTGGCAGTCTATGGGGGAGGCCTATGTTCAGCAGTGGACTCAAACAGGCTGAAATGATGATGATGATGATGATGTTTTGGCACTATGAACGAGCTAGCTCAATTTATTTCGGCAAGTATTGGTCTTAACGTAGATTTATCTATCAATGCGATGCCGAAGCTAATTATTTAGTATACATAATGGAAATTATATGATTACCTACATACAATGCACGTGTATGAAACGCTTGTCGATCTACAGAGTGGCCAGGACTTTTTTAATTCTTATTGTAATTGAAATAAATGACGATGTAATACACACCTCTAATAACCGGTTCGTTCAATATCAATAACCCTCAAGGTTTATGCGTTGACCAAACAAGAGAGAAACAATTGATTACGCAGCGGTAACGCCTCTAACGCGTGGCGGAACAAAAAATGCACCAAGCCGTGAAGATGGCGTGGAAAGAGAGGACGATATGCGAAAGTCGTCAGAAGCGATAGAGGTGCAAACTGGTTTGGGTGGTGAGCGCGATGTTGCTGGGGTGCTGGTATGTGCGAAGGAGATGGAAGACCCAAGGAAAGAAAGGGAGGTGAGTGAAATTGCCGTGGCAACTTTCGCTGAGCCCGTTTCGGTTACGTCAGAACTTCGCAGGCGTTGCGTAACCCATTGCGAAGATTATGACTGTTTTGTGTGACACTGATTTGAGTGATAGCTGAAAGCGATCCGTTCGTCTTTCCGGCGTTTGTACAATCACAAATATCACCAGTCTTTGTAGATCTACGGATTATAATAGGAGAATAATCATCGATTAGAGTAAGAGCGAACCCCTTAACCATAATTGGATCGTAGTTTGGTCGACCAGTTGCTTGACAGACAAAATTCTGAAAGGGATACCCAAAAAGTTGATAAAGTCTAAACAGAATTTCTGAGCACTAAATCGTTAAAGTCTTAATGACTTGATAATTAAATTTACATCCTTAAACATGCAAATTGCATCGTATCTAAAAGTAGGGTCCGGTAGTAAATCATTCATTGAACGCTGTTGCCTAAGCACTTTCGACGATTCTAGCGTTTTGTACGAGTACTATTGTACTATTTTTAGAGAGGTTTGATCAAAATATGAAAAAAAAAAGTTCTCGTTTTTATGTCAAACTAGTGTCATTTATACTATTATAATTAAATGTTTCCAAAATAATGTTTTACAAACAAATGGTTCAGTTTGAAGCTATATAAATGTCGAACTGAAATAACTAGCGACTACCTAATAATCTCCAATTATTTAAGGCGTCCAAAATACTTTTGCGCCATACTAATAATGGAGGACGGAATTAAAAAAAGGTTTTTTATAATACCTTAATAATTTAATCGCTTTCGTTAATACAGATAAAATATTTTATATCTTACACTTGAAATGTAATCAGAGGAATGCTTCATTACGAAACTATAGTCATTTTTCGAAATAATTGGGTCCGATATACTCAACAATTTCCGTTCAAGGAGCTCGAATATCACTAAAGAACAGTATGGCGACTGGTTTATTCCTCAATGACACGAAACGGAAAGCCTACAAAAGTAATTAAATGCTTATTCGGTCGAAATATTAAACACAATTTCATAATTGTGCCCTTTATGATGTTTAATTTATCAATACCTCTTTTAAACGCTGGCAAAAAGTTTTAACTCGATTAGAAACGATTAAATTCTCGTACCCAATTAGAAACAGACGGGAATGTTGTCCTAGTTCTTAAATGACACATAATATGCATCTCTTCCCGCTCTATGGCCGAAGCACAATACTATACACTGTTAGACTCACACATGCAGATTCCTAGTTCTGATTAGACATATGACATGCGAATGTGTGCGTATAACATAAACATCAGCAAACGTGTGTTCGGTTGTAGTTATAACAAATTCTGTTTAATTTCGAATATGCATATCGTTTCGCCATTAAAGCTGCATCGAACCGCTATTTGAATGGAATGGAACTTTTAAACCACTCCACAGCGCTCTCATTGTATATCACGTAAATGTCTTTCGCTCATTTATCTATCGGAACTGGATACGTGTGTGTGAGTACCATTCGTTCGTGTTTCATACTCAATGACCCCCTTTGTGTTGGTATTTCTTGTACGTGTGTGAGTAAATGTGGTGTCATGTCGATGCGAGTTTTGAGCAAGTGTTGGTGATGCGCGGGTGTGAGTGTAGTTTAGCGTTCACAATGAAAGTACTCGCCGGTTGCACGGATTTGGGTCACAGCTCCAACTTTGATTATAAAGATTACGAGCTCCGTGTGAATCACCGAACATCTTCTGAGGCCTCACGTTCTAGTTTAAATATGCTCGAATAGGGGGAACATGTCATGTTTATAAAAGTTTTTTTAATTAAAATTAGAGGGAAAAAAACGTATCGCCGTTACCAAACGTTGATTAAATACTAAAAGATATTTTCCCAATGAATGAATTATGGTGTGCGTTTTAAAATATTTGACGATATTGCAAATCTTAAAAGATCGCTTTTTTAGTAATTACTAAACTAAATAATTGACCGGCAGTAATTTTATTACCTTTTTAGGTATACTTAATATAAAGATATAAAACGTATTAGAATATCTTAAATTTAAAGTAAAGTTAACTGATATTGATACCTTACATTCGAGGAGCCTTAATAGGTACATTGTAAATGTTAAACAAGATTACGTTAGGATTATGAATTAATTTCTATGTGAATTAAAAAGTATTCTAGTGGTTAGTAGAGCCGTGATAGCTCAGTGTCCGGGCACTCGACTTTAATTCCATATACTCGAGCAACCTGAGTTCGAGCCCCGGTGCCGGCACCAATGAAGTTTTTAACTTTAAGTGCTGACTTATCACGTGCTCCGCGGTGAGGGAAAACATCGTGAGGAAACCTGCATATTTTCGAAATAATAACAAAAATAATATATTTTTCGAAGATATGTGAAGTCCGCCAATCTGCAGTGGGGCCGCGTGGTGGACTGGTGGTGGTATAGGCTGTTACTTTACTAGTGGTTCTCATCTTTACCGACTTTTATTGAATCATATGTATTATTTACAGAATACGTAATGCTATGCTGGATAGTTTGCGTTTCGCGCCATATCTCATGAGGTATTTCGTAATAAAACATTGCACACTGAAGCAGCTGCGTCCTCATGATTATCATAATTCTTATCTTCATCTCGAGCCCACATTTGAAGCGTCGCGTTACGTAAAACGAGAAGCGATAACGAATGTGCGAAATGTGAATTTTGAATGTTTCATTACGTTGCAATTGGATCGATTTGAAATGTATCGGCTAGTTTTGTCCGTACAGAATTAAACCATTGAATTTCGATTAAAACATGAAAGTTATTTATTCTTAGATGTTTGTTTTTAACGTTTATTATGTTTTTCGTAGGAATTATTGTTATAGGAATTATATGACGAGACTAGACAAAATGCTAGTTTCAGTTTGAGAAACAGCATTTCGGTAATTAGGAAATACAGACGGATGTTACTAAAGCAATAAGATTTAAATTTTGTAATTTAAATACAGAAGATTGTTACTAAAACTGTAAGTTTTAACTGTAACCTTTTAAAGTATGAACATAAACTTATTGTTGTTTAATTTACCAGTATTATTGTTGTAGTCATGTATATTCTAGGATAATTAGCAACAAACAGGCGCAAAGCAGGTTTGTTACGAAATCTATTTATTTTCAGCAGGTTTCGTTACGTTTCAAAATTAATTGCTATTGACAAACAAGTTGCCTGTTAGGTGTGAAAAACTGCACCTTAAAAGCTGTGGAATTGTAATGAATGGTTTACTATTAGTTGCTCTCTCTTGCCATTACTAAATTCTTGTATATTCTTTAAAGAACATCGTTTACCGTTTACTATCAAATCGTTTATTTCAGAAGGCGTATAGATACAACATCTGTCGATTTGGATGTCGTGAGGAAAGTATTTTAAGGTTTGTAGAGTAGCAGTCTTTCATCCACACCACCTCGATGTCCAGCGTTCCAACAACAGCGCGATTTTCAAGGCATTTCTTGCCTCGCACAACCACTCTGTGGAACCAACTGCCGCCGACGATCTTTCCCAACCGTTACGACCTGGGAACCTTCAAGAAGAGAGCATACTCTTTTCTAAAAGGCCGGCAACGCATTTGTGAGCCCTCGGGTGTTGCAGGTGTTCATGGGCGGCGGTAATCACTTACCATCAGGTGAGCCTCCTGCACGTTTGCCCCTTTTCTCCATAAAAAAAAAAAAAGTCTATGTCCTATGAGTGTTATTAGGAGAGTCAGAGGATAAACACTGTTGATTGGGGCAAATCCAATGTAATAAAAATGTTAATGGAACATCCATATATTATACTGTTAAATTTTTTAATAAAATACTGTTATTTCTAAAAGAGTAGAAATTAAGCCATACTGCAACAGCGGCCTCCACTTGTTCACTTGTTCTGTTCACTACAATGTTATAAATTATCTAAGTTGCTCGTCGTTCTTGGACTGAACTTTGTTTAAAATACCTGAAAAAGAATAACTGAAGGCAAGAGCTGAGATAGCGTTATGTCATAGAGAATAATTAGAAGTCAAAGATCTTTATGACATGTACAAATCAAATGAAAGCATTTAATCCATTCAATAGCTTGATCTAAAATATCTTTGCCTTTTCTGGGCTGTGAAATATATGATTCTTACAATATTTTTAATGACGTTTTTGTAATAATGTTAAAATACATTAATTTTATCAAATTTCGAATTAAGGTTAACACATAAAATAATATAAATTATTGCATTTCTCTTTTTTTTCTGTGCTAATCATTTAATAATTAACTGATTCAAAATTTTTAAAATAAATGAGAAGGTACATTATTACTGCGTTTTAAAGGTTTAATTTAATTTTTTTAGGTAAGAATTAATTAATTAATCCTAGGGCTTAATTGTAGGCGGGAAAAGCTGATTTTTCCCGCCTACAATTAAGGACTTGTGATTGGTTGGCAACTGTTTGTAAGGTGTGTTGACTGTGGCTATGTGAAAAAGTTTCATAATACGTCCGTGTATCTTTGAACTCACTAAGCGCGGTCGTGTCCGCTAACTGAACAAACAAAAATTTTTTAATCAGCGCAACTACACGCCGGCTTACATAACAGGCCCTTTTTATCAGCTATAAGTTACGGGCGGCCTTCCTGCGTTCTCCGATGTCCGTTGTCCAAATAAAACGGCTAAATGGGCGTTCGAACAGTTTGCAAAGCCCCGAACGTGTCGTAATTGGGCCGGACAGTTCGTAGGTTAACTTTCGTTTCCTAAATACGGTGGCTGTGCTTCCAAATGATATTGTCTCGTATATCGGGGAATTTTGTAGAATTATTGATTCGTCAACGGGAGTTTATTAAGTAGTTAAAATTGGGGACGGATTAAATTTGGATAACGGATTAAATGCTAGTAAAATCATGATTGATATCTGTGCGTACTATACATCCATAGAATGAATTGCTTAACTGTATTGAACGAACAATCGACCTATAAAATATTCTATTAAGGATGTTTGATCAAATATATGGGAAAAATCTAAATCAGTGTAAGTATAGCAACGTCAAATTATCTAACTTATATTATTAAAATAACCAATTTTGTGTATACACAACTATTATAGACGGCTAGCTATAACGTTCTGTCAGATATTGTTCGAAATATAAAAGCTCGAATGTGGCGAGGCGCGTCTAAAACGGCATTTAAAAACACTGAATTGAAAAATAATGATATGAATCGGGGGGAGGGTGTTGCACAAACGAATCGCAGGTAGCGCACGTGTTCCCGGCCTATACGCATACGACTCTACATGCGCACCGCGTGACGACATAATTTTTTTGAATGTGTACGTCGAAGTACAAACTTTTTAAGTCGACATTAAATGGCCTGTATGTCTTAATTTCGTTTATTATCTGTTGCAGATGTATTGATTCTGAATCAGTAGTTTTTAAATACAATAAAATTAAATTCGATTTAACCGCGACTTATAAACTAAGAGACGTTTTTAATTTTTCCCGTTACTGGAAAATTATGACTTATAATATATTTTTATTATTTTATTTATAATGTCTCGAAATGTAGATAACTTATGAGAAGGCTATATCGTATTTCGAATTTCGAAATCGGAATGCATGACCTCGTATTTATAAAATGTCACAATCAAAGAATGAAGGTGCCAGGCGAAGGGTCCATTTTTTTAGATCCACCTACCTGGATCTATTATGTTATGGGGAAAGTTATGTGAAAGAGCACGGGGCCAAAAAAACTCGATTTCTCCCTCTGCTCTCTACGTATTTTTTTTTTACCGTCGACCCTTAGTCCTTTCGATTTATATCTGACAATGGTTTTTGTGTGAGCACGTTGCCCAACAATGGCGTGTGATCACAAAAAATCGCAATATAATTTGCTATCAATCGCAGGTTACGCAAGACTTTGAAAAATCCAAGTTTTTTCTTATCCACGCAACTCCCAGATTAACTTATACCTTTGCTTTTAAGCGTTTAAGATAATATATTTTTATGGATGCAAAATTACTTTGCTGTAAAAGGATTATCATATCATACCGACTGCAATAGTTACCGTTAGTAGTAATAGTTGTGTATAAATGACTATTTCAATTGAAAACTTGTAAGCTTTACCGAATCAAAAACATAATTTTTAATGGTGTTAAATTTACGTCAAACTAGGTCCTGTTTTTTTTAACGCATTATCAGGAGAATCTTTTTATCTAGTTATATGCATTAGAACAAAATATGATGACTTTATTTTTTCGTAAAAAATTACGATTCGATGATTATGATTGTTTAGTTTTCTTTTTCTTAAAAATATTTTTTTTATTACTAAATTGAGCGGTTGGAAATTTTATGGAAATAATTCGTACGAATATTTTCCTATTTGATCGAAAGTCATTCCAGTGAAAGCAATCTCGCTACTAAACAAAGACGGACGCTTTTCACTCGGATCATCTGAAGCATAACGTTTTAAATAGGAGAGCAGAGAAAAAAAAAAAACATCTGTCATCTGAAGTCGAAAGTCGCGTGCGCGATGACATCACTTTCTCTTTCACCAATTAATTGGAGTCAACGTTTCGCGAGGCAGAGGTAAAAACAGAAAGAAAGTGCTATTACGACAGGCTGCAGTGCAAAAAATCGCGCGCGCATTGTTTTCTATCGCTCTCCCTTTCTAACAGACAGCACGGATATTGCTATCCCACTCTAAAGAAAGTGCACGCACGCACCCACCTGAACGGTTTACGTCACTAATGGCAACCGAAAAAAAGCAGATACTTCACGCTGCATTTGAAAATGTGATTTGATCTAAAATTTACTTCTCTTTCGTATGATCGATTTGTATACGAAATTTTCTCCACTTTCAGTTATAATTAGGAATATTAGCTTTTAATAGATGAATTACGCACATTTCTTTTTTATTTTCAGATTTCCTCAAGTGCTCTCATGCCCTGGATCGGTATGTTGCATATACAGCGTGTCGTTACCATCGCGACAATAAATGAACACACGTCTAACGCTACTTGCCAATAATCATAAAAAATATTAATGTTAAACAAAATCCATAATTAAAAAAAATATTTTTCAAACAAACTAATTAAGTAAAAAAGAAACCAAATTTGTATCATCCTATACAACTCGCGCCACAGCGTCGCATTACAAGCCTCTCCTTCTAACAGTATGTTTTGTCTCTTTTAAATTCATTCAACCCATTCATATGCTTTGTGACCTTTACAAATAAACGTTTTATACGTACGGACGGGTGTTCTAAAATTCTTTGTTTTGGAAAATTTAATAACTCTGTAAATATTGATGTTTAAAAAATGTTAATGTTTAATACAATTTTAAAAAGTTATCCTCTATATGTGTGTTCATTTATTGTCGCAGTGGTAACGACACGCTGTATACAGAGAAAATAAAACTCAAAGATAACAAATAAATTTTTTTTCGATTTTCGGTCTCAATTATTAGTTTTATTATACTACTACTATTAAGTAAGTATATGAATATCTACATTTTTAAACAAGGATGCAAGATATAGATAGCATAACATATTTTTTATTGCTTCTGCAAATTGCACTTGTACATAATACGAAAGTGAGAGTGAAAGATGACGTCGACCGTTGATATATGAAGAAAGAGACAGTATTCTCAAACTGCTGGAGCGAAAGAGATAGACGACGTGAAGTTCTACTGTTCTAGTAAGATTGTGTTACGAAGTGTGGGAATGCGTGCAGGTAAACACGCAATATTCGCTCAAAAATAAGATTGGGTGTTGTTGTGCTTTGTCATGTATTATTTGCGTTCATTTAATAGTTTTATGGTATTCAATTCAAACTTTCAGTAGATAGAAAGTTAGGTAGTAGTAAATTATTAAAAAAAATTCGTACAGTTTTATCCGTCAAGATGTCACTACTATTTTATCCGTCAAGATGTCGGATTTAAAATATCATTTCGTGTCTATTATTTTATACAATAATAACGACGTGTGCGATTCTAGCAACTGCGATGACAAACCTTCAAAGAAAATACATTATAATTCGATAATTATTATGTTACGTTTATTCAAATATCGGTGTTAGAACAATGATAATATGGATCCATCTGCTCCGCGACCACGGCCCTCGGATTAGAATTAAAAAAAAAAAACGAAGAAAGTAGAAGCATTCCTGCTATAGAGATTGTTTCCGTAAAAAGTTTGACAAAAACGCACCGATTGTGTCGAGCAACAAAAGCTTGGACAATAGCTTGTGCAACACGTGTGGGTTTGCAGGCAGAACGATTTCGCAATAGAGAAATTTCGGCAAACCCGATGTTAAAAATCGCACAATAATAAAAAATTGCATAATAAGTAACTACATATAGTATTGAGCAATTTTTTGCCTGTACAATTTTATACTGATATGTCAATTTTTTGCGGTTTCTTTCCCCACCATTTTCGGCATGACACGTCTTCGTTGTTACAGTTTAATGCAATAGCTTTCAATGGCAGCTTTTAGTGGCCCAATACTATTGTTACCATTAAATATTACTTTTATAGCGCAATAAGGTTCTCTGTAATATTGGGCGATGATTACTCATATATACCATGAAAGATACCAGTGAAAAGTAGGGCGATTAAAATTATAAATACTGTATAAAACATCATTTTATATACCATTAATAATACTTTTTGCTATTAGTTTAAGTAAATAAAATATTTAAATACTAAGCAAGTCGGATCTACCTTAATATTTGAGAATTATTTACAACAGGTAAAATATTTGTGTCTCCGAAAAATATTTTATCTTTTCACTGAGAGTAAACCAACAAAGAGAACGTTCAAAGTCCGAATATATCCGTTGGTTTAAATTGCATTAAAGTTTCGTATGTCGAAAATATTGAGAGGATCATAGCTTTCCGAATAATTCGAGGTAGCTTTTGGTTGCCACCATGAAAGTTTTGTCGTTTTTCGGGGTACATCTACTATTCAGCAAGTTATGTCAATCCGTTCCAAGCGCGACTGTTTACAGACTTCGCCTGTGTAACATCTTAGAAATATCTCACGCTACGTCGAGGCTGGAGACAATTAGACATGACATCCAATTATGTCATGACAGGTAGGGCCAAGCAACAGTCTTCGCTGTTGCACGAATGAGCAGGTCCGTCGCGGTAGGTCCCACGACCTCACAGAATACCGGCGTGAAGTGGAAGTTTTACCCATCACTTCTGCGTTTCGTCTGGTGAGTGAGGTCGCCGGGCCCACTTTGTTAAAAGATGACAATGTATCTAAAACCCGGCGGGTGTTGCTAATGTCCGTCGGCAGCGATTATCTTTTAACCCAGGTGAACCGCCAACTCGCTTGCCACCGAGAAGGTGGTTAAGAGAGGTGGTTAAGAGAGGAGAGGAGAGTTCCCACCTTCTTTACTGGGTTCCAAGCCAGCGTTGGCAGGATTGCGGAAGCATGGGAAAGCGCTCCCGTTACGATACTAATATGCGCCCAATGAGTCAATTAATGATGGCAAAATTACTTATTTCAAGCATTTTCCGAAATAGCGGGATATAGATGTAAATTCACATAGCCTATATGTATATCAGCGGCGGTCGTTCTTTCTAGTATTTTTTACTGGTAATATTTTCTATCTAAAAATCGAAATAATATAGAAGCCAAGTTCTATCTAGAATAACAAAAAAATTTTTAAGTGGGCCATTTATGTCAAGAACGCATCAAAACATCTGAAGTAATATTTCGAAAAGGCCCTGCCGCGAGATATTAATAAGCGACGCTTGATCTTGGATCAACATCCCGCACGTGTTTTTAGTACCAAATCGGAGATATCGTGTCATCATCATCACCATTAGTCTGTTCGAGTCGATTTCCCGCTCAATTGGGCAAGTTATCACGCCATCTAGCGGGGAACGTCGCAAACTACGATGGCCAATTGAAGTAATCCGTCGAGAACCTTTCTTCCCCATCGGTTAACGGTCCAGAGCTATACGGCCATGAGATTCGTTGTGCGACACGTTGAAATTCCGCGTAGTGCGCAAGCGCTGCCTGTCCCTTTACCCCGCCATTTCCATTGCGAGAGCATCACCGTGATCGAAGGGTCGGTAAGAAGACATTAGCCGGTGAAATCGAAAGTATTTTACGTTCGAACGTTACCTCGTTCGTGCTCGTGTTATCGTATTGGCCGCCAGCAACTTATCGCGTTATTTCACGTTTGAAAATACATACAGGAAGTGGTCACGGAAAGTTGAGATAACACCAAAGCTGGTCGCAACTAATAACTCCATACTTGGCAGTTTTTAATTGTAGATTAGAAAATACTTTATTGGCCCTATATTCTATATATGTTATTAACCTATACGTTTAAATAAATTTTACTGATAATTAAGATTGTGATAGTTTTCGTGGTTTGCTTGTCAAGTTTAAAAGACTGATAACAATGATCCTACAAAATGCATGGATTTAAACTTGTTGAAATTAATATAGAATAAGTTGAAATTAATGAGTAAAATAATACTTGAGTTGAAATTAATATAGAATAAAATCACTATGACAAAAATTACTTTGTGCACTATTATGAGGATTACCTGGCTGCCTTAAATCCGTCGTCTGCTCAAAACTCAACACTCTTATTATTTTTTAAGAGAGTACATACAGTAGATACATAAAAGTTTATGAAAATGCGAAGATAAGTTTTAATATTATGAATATCATAAAAGATTGTAACGAACACACAAAGTAACAATATTTTATTTAGCAAAAAATCCTAGTCTCATTAAAGGCAAGTCAGCTGATCACCCGATGTTATTGATAACTGCCACCCGTCGATATTTGTAACACCCGAAGGGTTGAAGATGTGTTGCCGCCTTTTAATAGTGGGCCCCGGCTACCTCACCAGACGAAACGCAGAGGTAATGCACTTCCACTTCGCGCTGGTCTTCTGTGAGGTCATGGTACTTCCCCGGACGGACCTGCCCATTTGTGCAACAGCGAACTGTTGCGTCGTCTTCCACTGTATAAATAGGCCTACGAATTAACATGCAAATACAATCTTTAATGCAAACGGAGAGTCAATAGATGGCGTTGTGATAACACTTTAATAACTATGTGTGTGTGTTTTACCCGCTGAAAGGTTTGCTACTCAACTATTATTTATCCCTCGGGTTTATAATGCGTATTCAAAGGACCGCCTGCCCGTTGCCACCGCTTCTCATATAAATTAAAAAAGGCGGTGTAAATCTGAACAACGACGACATTTTTAGTAATATTATTAATGACGTTTCCCGCGCGTTGGCGACACTGCTATCGAACTTTCTTTCGATCTTATCGCAACGGTTTCACTCCAGCTTACAATAACGAGGAGCGAAAGAGTTCTAAAGGAGTTGCATATATCATATATATGATATGTGGCGTTTAAATTGGTGCTGATTTAGGAACCGATCGTGAGACATTTAGAGTTCGTTTAATTTGGTTTGTTAATGAACCTTTTTACCTTTGTACATAATCTCGATTTGTTTTTTTTTTTATTTTGAGTAATTATATAATTATTAAATTACAAAAATCGAAAAAATACTATATGGCGTCTCTATATTCGTTTTTTAAATGTCAATACTGCTAATCAGTGGTATTGCTAGAACTTCCCCTTTTGTGAGCCCGCGCTCAAAAAGTTTCCTACTGCTCCTGATTGCCCAGACTTTGACTTTTCTTTTTTTTTTGCACCTCGAACCTAAAATGGACGACTTAAAAAAATGCAGGTACGAAATTAAAAAGATGAAAAAGTTGAAGAACTATCATGTTAATGCATAACAGAAAAGTGAAAACATAGTTACTGGTTTTAATTTAAGAAAATGTAACTTGATAAATGAGGTACGTGCTACATACCACATAAAACATACTTATAATTTTTTTTTCTAAAAATCGCAGTTTTACAACCACCTGGATATGAATTGAATGAATTGAATATGAATAGTATT